AAATAAATGAAAGGGTGAAGGGAGGGCAGGGACAAGGGGAAAAATGAGAACCAAGACCTGTCATGTAAAGGTACAAGATCCCAATAATGAATGTAACTGTACTGTATACCTAAAATGTACCAATAAACTCAATAAAACACATGAAAAAAGTATTTAATGTTAAAACATTTGGAGCCAATTTGGAAAGACTGGCTTTCAGTGGACAGGTTACCTATAAGACAAATGGAAGCTGAAAAGGAAGAGCAGTTCGACTCCAGATCAGTCAACATATGGACTATGAAGGCAAATAAGAAGTTATTATGCAAGCACTTGAAACTAAAATCCTTCATGACAGACGTTTGGTTGCAAATAGGAAGAACAGGAAATACAGATTTAAGATAAATAGTAAAATAAGCAGTGATTTCAAACCTGAGTGCCAAATCAATCAAGCTAAGGAATCCACTCTTGTATCAGTCTAAAATGTGTTCTTTTTGTTAAACCAAAAGGTATTATATGCTGCTCAACAGTACACAGATATTGGATACAACTGCCAAATTCAGAATCTTGTAATTAATTTTTAAAAAAATAACATCCAGACCTAAAATAGTAAATGGCAATGAGTTTTTGCAAAGTGCAATCAGTACTTGTCATCTAATCTTTCAATTGCAGGCATTCAATTTCCACTGAATACCTAATCTACCATTATTTTACAGGGTCTGATGCACCAAAGCGTAAGATAGGCACCTAATTTGTGATGACACGTTGCTTCCCACATGGGTGCCTCCAGGCAGTGTGCTGTGAGGTGAAGAACAACACGTTTATTCATGTGTATGCCAGAGATAAGAAGGTGTGTTTTTTTGTAAGTTTAAAATAAATAAAGCTTTTAATCATTATATTTTTAAATTACAGTCCAGTAATTATTTTTGTTTCTCAAATTTTTCTATAAATGTACATGAATCTCCCCATCAATGCCAAGTATTACAGATCATATATGAATGCAGATATTATACCATCTGTTAGATCAATAATTATGTATAAAAGATTTTACAGATTCTGAAGACTAAGATTGCTCTCAAAAGACTCATCATCTTGTAAATTCTAGGTATCTGTTGTACAATTTTATGCCTTTAGTGAACAATACTGTATAGTACACATGATATGTAAGAGAATAGAACTCAAGTATTTTTATCATCATAAAATGATCTTTTTATAAACTTACAACTTTAATCTTACTCATTTTTAAGAGAAATAATGGTTGCATACAAGATTATAAATCCCTTTTTCCTGGTATTGTGGGTTAAATGGTGAACCCCAAAGATATTTCCAACATTGAACGTCTCAGAAGTTGTGAATTTGACCTTCACAAAAAGGATCTTTACACATGTAATTAAGAACCATGAGATAAGGTAATCCTGGGCTATTTAGATAAGCATAAATCCTGTGACAAGTGTCCTAAGAGATGTACAGAGGAGAGACACAGGAAGAAAAGATGGAAGCAGAGATTGTAGTTAAACTGCCACAAGCCAAGGAACATCTGGAGTCATCAGAAACTGGAATAGGTAAAGAGATGCCCCTTAGAGCCTTTAGAGTATGGTCTTGTTAACAGCCTAATTTTAATTATGGCTTTAGGATATGTAAGAATGAATTTCTTTTGTTTAAGATAGCAAATTTGTGGTTATTACCCAGTCTCAGCAGATTAATACACCTGGGGAATTTAAAAACCAGAATGATGTTAGAAAAGTGTCTTCTGAAAGCATAAAAACAGACTAGATGTCTCATTATTTCATCTCCATGCACCCCAGGATTCATGTGCCTAACACACTGTACACATTCATCAGTTGCTACATCATCCCATGGCATTCCAGCAACCCATTCTGTCACTACTAAATGGCTAATGCCCAACCACAGCTACTCTTTGAAGTCCACATTTCCCAATTTAGACTAAACACTGCACTAGAATCATTTTCATATATACCAACTAGGTGCCTTGAAAATCCTGGAAATTCTGATTTAGGGAGTTTGGGGAAGGGCCTAGAAAGCCTGACAATCTTTGTCAATGTAGTATTTATGAGGATATGACCAGAGGTAAAATGCAAGATGAAATTTATTAACAGCAACCCTGAATTCTAATGAAACTACATTAATTACCTGTTCCCACAAAATACTGTGCTGGTTCATGGTGTTTACTCTTTTTCACCTGCCAGTCAACTCTCCTGAAACTCTAGATCATATTCTCAACTTTGAGTCCTCCCTAGTTAAATATACATTTCCATATACACTCCTCTTCTGAATCTCCTTTTTCCTCTTTATGGTACTCATTAGTCTAATAAAATGTGTGCAGCACATCTCTCACAAGAGGCTGAGAAATCTTCTTTGCCTGATATTGCCTATGGTACATCTTTATGTATACACACACACACACACACACTGCTAGATATTGATTCAATTAATTATGAAAGAATCTGGGATTAAGAGACAGCACGCAAACTAAGGAAAAGCTCAATTTATAGCTATGTACAATGGGGCATGTCATTTCTACTGTTCTGTTTATCATGTTATATTTGCAAAGCAAATTAACTCTGAAGATTTCACTTACATACAAAAATTTTACTTGACTGAACATAAATTCAACTAAAGGAGTCTTAGCCTAGGAGTCATAGTCTTCTGAGTCTGTGAAGCCCCTGATGTTGTATACCACATTTATATATACACTATATGAGGCATGATCACAATATACAGTGAATGTACAATTTTTAATTACAGAAAAAGACACATTATCATTAATCCCCCTCAAAATATTCCCCTTAACTTTGAAGACTTTTTTCATCATTCCTGCCACTTCCTGAGGAATTCTTTTGTGTCTTTCTTTGCAAGGTGTGATCAGAAATTCAGTGAATGCTGCTGCTAAATACCATCCAGTGGAAAAGGGTAGGTTTGTAAGAATATTAGTGTCCTCATCCACCTTATTCACCAGATCTGGCCCTTTGAGACTGCTGGCTCTTCACCAAAATCAAAATGACTATAAAAGGTAAATGTTTTGAACTGATTTAGGACATTAAAGCAGCCATAAAGAGTACAACTAAAAGCACTCAGGAAAAAGGACTTCCACAGCTGTTTCAGAAAGTGGCAAGAATTTACAGGTAAAGTGTGTTAGAAGCAAGGGAAAGTATTTTGAGAGGAGCTCACTGCAATGTCTTTCTGTAAATGATTTTTAAACATTCCCTGGGTTTTTATCATGCTTTATATACTTATACAGTGGTGCCTCTGTTCATGAATTTAATTATTCCACAATTCTGGGGTCATTAACTGAATTGGACAAGAACCAAATCAAATTCAATGTTGACCTTACAGGAAAATTTGATTCAGTTCTCATCCAATTCGGTTTGCAACCAGAATCATAGAAAGAACAGAGTTCATTGACCAAGGTATCACTTGTATGTTTTTCTAGGGGAAAAATTCATTACTTTCATCAGACTCTCAACAGCAATTTTAAATTAATAATTAGGCTTTGTGTGTAGTAACTATAATGACTGATGCTGAGATATGACTTGTTCACTCAGCTCAAAATGGTATGTACAGAAAGAACCTCATTTATTACTATTCCTGGATTTTCTCTCCAAACTTTTTTTCCTGTGGTCATTGGTTCCACTTAATTTTTTTAGTGTATAGACTTAATGATCTATAGTATATATTAAACTTCCATTATCTTCAGGTCTTAAAACATCTCTTCTACTAATGAATTTAGCAAGTAGTTTTAATGTTAAATCTTACATATCTTCAGAAAAGATGTTCCTTTGTGAAATGGGAAGAAATGGACTAAAGGTGTAGGGAAAGTGGGAAGGGTAGGGGAAAGGTAATAAGGGAAAGAAGAAAATGAAAAAAATGGAAATAAAGTGTTTGTAAATGGGGAGGGGAGAAGAGGGTGAAGGGAGGGCAGGGACAAGGGAAAAAAATGAGAACCAAGACCTGTCCTGTAAAGGTACAAGATCCCAATGATGAATGTAACAGTACTGTATACCTAAAATGTACCAATACACTAATAAATGAGAAAAAAAAAAGCTGTTCCAAAAAAATACAAATTAAAATATATATTAAGTATCAACTCCCCATGATGAATGTATTCATTATGCATGGCAAACACATACTAACAAAAAAATAAAAACACAGTACTGTACCTAAAATGTACCAATACACTAATAAATGAGAAAAAAAAAAGCTGTTCCAAAAAAATACAAATTAAAATATATATTAAGTATCAACTCCCCATGATGAATGTATTCATTATGCATGGCAAACACATACTAACAAAAAAATAAAATAAAGTAATTTAAAAGTAGTTATATTTGCCATTAGTAGTGATTTTTCTACCTACAGAAATAAAAGGAATAAAAAAAGAAAGTGCTTATCCTTAAGATAAATTAGTGTATTAATGTTTAAAACTAGCCATATGTTTTTTCGCTGTGACTGGACTGGTTCTCATCTCTCGTATTTCTAGACAACTGACTATATCATTTTGTCCACAAGACATATTGGGTTGGGGTGAACAATGTGATTGATCCAAAGGGTATCTCTTTTATCTTACTTAGCTACAAAGACAGTAACTTAGTCATTTATAAGACATCATTTTTTTTAAAATACTTTTAATTATATTTATCACAATTAGTGTGCTATCAAGCCAAATACATTCCTTAGGAAATACCATAGAAAGCAAAGCAATGTTAACAGAATTAACATTTTTAAAATAAAACATTTTTAAATGATAATATGAACATCATGAAACATTACTATTAAGTAACAACAGAAAATATGAAGACATGTTTCAATATAAAGATAAAAAATAAAATCTCAAAAAAACTTATAAATTCTAGAAGGGAAGCAAGCCATAAAGTTCTCTTCAAAAGCATGCACTAATCTACAAGTAATGTATCTCATTTAAATCCATATTTACAATTCAAACATACAGGTAGTACTTTCAGCTAAATAGGGACTGAGTACTCCTGCCTTATCTACAGAGATTTTAGTTGGGTGATTACACAATAATAGCTCCTTTAAATGTGTACAATTTTTAAAAGTAGTGACAATTCACTTGTTCTTTTCTACTTACTGATTTATTTCAAATGTCTACATTACTGACTAAATATGTACAAATATTTTTAAAAACAAAAATAACTATTTATACAGTTTGCAAAGGTCAAATCCTAACCAAGATGCCTTTTCATGTAGTCCAATGACTAGAAACTTGTCAATGCCAATAACTGCCAGGCCAAAAGAAGCCTAAACCCTATACCCAGATTATTTTTTCTCCTTTCAAATGCTTTCATTTTTCTTAAAGAAATGTTTACAATTCTGCATTGCAACTGGCAACAGCTGCACAAGCAATGCCTTATACCACAAATCAATCTTTTCCTGCCCAAATACTATTATTAATTTAATGTAATTTTACCATTCATATTAAATTCAAATGTCTAGATCCCAAATATCTGGGTATGAAATATGCAAATCTTCCAAAAAAATTAAACATTTTTCTTCTTTTCTTTTAATAGAACCCACTATATAATAGTGAACTAAATATATTTGTTTCATAGAAACAACTTACATTTGCCAATACAGGGCAAATGGTCTATGTACAGATACATTAGGACTGCCTAACTGACAGTGAGGGTTGCCGACCAGGCTCCAAATCAATGGAGCTAATATGGTGCTGTTCTCTGCTGAATGGACTTTCCCTTCAGGATACGTCGGATCTGGAAGAGAAACAAATAGTATTTGTAAGGTTGGCTCATTGTTGCATTACTGGAAATTGAACCCAGAGCCTTCGCACTGAGCTACATCCCCAGCCCTTTTTCTTTTTTTCTCAGTTTTAAGGCAGGATCTTCCTAAGTCACTAAATTGCCTGGGCTGGGTTTGAACTTTGGGACCCTCCTGTCTCAGCCTCCCAGAGTGCTAGGATTCAGGCATACGCCATAATACCAAGCTTGTGAGATTTATTTCTTATGGTCAAAGTAATATATTTCCTTCTGAGTTTCATTCCTTTACTATATACAATTGTGCTTTGGTTCACAAACTTAATTTGCTCCTTGATTTTGGAAAGGATGGCCAGTTTTCCATATTTGGAAAAATAGCCATGGGTTACACAATGCAGAATTTGCAAACAAAAACAAAATTCTGCCAAATGCTTTTGTTTGCACACCAAATTGTTTACAAACAAAAGTACTCTACACCACTGTACTCTGCACCACTCCTACTAACTTATAAACGTAAAAAATATGCACGATAGGGCCAGGGATTTAGCTCAGTGGTGTCGCTGCCTGCCTCACAAGTGCAAAATCCTGAGTTTAATCCCTGGTCCATCCCCCCAAAAAAAATGCAGGCTATTCGTCAAGATTTAAAAGACTTTTAAAAATATTACAACTCTAATAAAACTAATTTCAAGTCTCTAATAATGATCCTTAAGTGCAAGACAGTAAAATATTTCTATTAAAAATCATCTGAAGTTAAAAATCTCCAACTACTTAAATAAGGCCTCTATTCTTTTCCTAATCTTTTGTCATTTGTAAGAACATTTATATAAGTAATGATCGCATATTAACCTGACAATTTTAATCTTTCAGACTGCGAAAGACAAAACGTGACAATTTCAAGAAAGAGGACTGGGATAAAGGATTCAACTATAGCTGTTAAAAAAGCAGCATATCCAGTAAGTGCGGGCTGACAATAAAAGCCTGTCCCCTCAACTCATACGAGAGCGAAGAGGGAAGTAATATAAGGGCCTTGACCTCTCCACACCTCAATGATCCCTGGGAGCACTGTTATTGCTGCACACCACAAACAGTAAAGTAGAAGCAAACCCTGGGCTTAGGACTCCGCCACCTATTAGTTAATGAAGACTTTTGTCCTTGAAACATCTCTCTCAATTCTCTGACAATTTACTACAAAATATTTTGTTAACTATAAAGCAGTAAACTATCAAGAAATTTAAGTTGTAAAGAGCTTTACAAATAGGAGTCGCTGTAACATAATGGTCACAGTGAAATCTAGAAATCAAAGAAAAAGCTGAACTGCATTCCACATATTTTATTTGTTAACTTATAATGTAATGATCAAAGCCGCAGTTATTCTGATTCCCCCAAACCCTAGGAAAAGATTTCTATCAAAAATATTTTAATTTCTTAAAGCTTAATTCTTATTATTTAGGAAGTTCACATAAAACTATTCAATCCTCAATGAGAGCATGCAACTACATTTGATTAATTTTAAGGTATAAAATACTTCTAAGTTCCAAATTATATACATAGCCTTTGCATTTCTTGTGTAGAAACACTTAGTATAGTACACAAAAATAATTTTAAGAGCTGATGTTCACTGAGCATTTACTATATGCCTGGAATTTTTTGGAAGATTCTCTAGATGTCAACTCATCTAATATTCACAATATTTGAAGCCTCACCGCTTATAAAACTAAGATTCTCTTTCCATGGTATCTGAAGGAATCTTAGTACTTTTTTTCATCAGCTTCCAAACCTTGAACCATTCTGACTTAACTCTAGTCTGAACCCAAATTGGTCTCATGAAGAGGAAAAAAAAGACTACCTAGGTCCATGGATAAAGCCCCAAACTTCCTATTCTTCCCTTGGTAACAAAGTAACTCCAAAATGCTGCAGAGGACCAGCTGGTTTTCCTCCATACAATCCTTTCCCCCTCTGTATTTCAGACCAGAGTGCCTAAGGTACTTCCTCTCCAAGCTGTGACCCTCACCTGTTCTCCCACAGGGCCATCAGGAACCAAATGCACAGGCTGTTCATTCTCCAAGTTCCGGGTACTTGGGTCTGCGCCCTTTCTCATCAACAGGCGGACGGCATCCAACTGTGTAACCCGGTACTGCAGGCTGGCAGCAACATGGAGAGCGGTGTTTCCATTGTAAGCCTAAAGACAAAGAAAGAAAGTAATACATGTCAGGAAGGGGGACTTTCATGAAAGAAACTAAAGCTTAAAGAAAGTATAGAAGGGTCATTCCCAGTCTGGTGTTATTAAAACTTTCTAAAAGTACCTTTGCATTCACAAAAGACAGGCAACTGGGCAGCTCCAAAAAGAGGCGGATGAGTTCCAAATTTGCTTCTTCAGCTGCCAAATGCAGAGCTGTGCGGCCACTTTTACGATCCTTGTCAAAGGTAAGAAAACATAAAAAATGAAAATTCAGATCCCATGCCTTACAATACACTTTTCCACCTGTCTCCAAAGTCTGAATCAGTCTTAGAAACTTACTCTGAATGTTTCCTTCTCCACAAATCCTTCCTGAAGCCAAAACTAAATAGTCTTTTATTGCTCTTAAATTCCCTATTAATTTGTCTTCTTGGCTCTTATCACAGGCTACTCTTGTATACAGGGTGGCCATAAAATGTAAAGATATAAAATAATACTTTCTTATTATGTATGGTATCAATAATCCATTTATTATGTGGCCCTTGTGTTTTCAGGATTGGTGACGATTGCGTAGAACTATAAGCTATCTCTCTCTTCTGTCTATTACACAGGAAGCTCCTGTAGGGCCCAAACAATTTACGATGAAGTCATCCCCCACCTAACACAGTGCTTTGGGGCATAGGAGATACTCAGTAAATAAACCCCAAACTTAAAAAGAATAAAATATTTTTCCAGTTTAAAAAACGGATTAAGTCCAAATCACACAACAAAGAAATCCTTACAAAAATATCTATCAGCATATAAAAATCAAAGCCAAAGTGACATCAGTTTTGAGCATTTTCTTTGCCTTTCAAAGATTTTTATTCATAGCTAAATGGTCACTCTGTATAATGATTTATAAATTATAAACAAATCAAGAAAGATTAAAGGATCTTTTTAAATTTACACTTCTTAACTACTTGTACATTGCTACTCACTCTATTTAATTAAAAACAAGAAAAAAAAAGTAAAGAAAAAGTTTTAATCTGTACTTAAGAGTAAGGTCTTTCACTACAATCTACCCTATTTGTAGCCTCTTCTGTAAATTTACCTTTGCTTCTACTGATGCTCCCATTTGAATCAGACACTTAATGGTGTCAACCAGACTCTTATTCTTCAGTAAAAGCTCCTGAACTTCAGGTGAATGAGGCTGTTGATTTCTCTGAAGTTCATGTACCACAGCATTGTGGGCCACAACTGCACAATGGAGAGGAGTCAAGCCTGGGAAAAAAGGATGATAAAGAAATGGTCAATTATTCCATCAAGTCTTTTGGTCATTCTAAAACAACAAATCTTGAAGATGATGGTCTCTCACTTTACCTATAAATGGGCTCCACAAAAACTAATAAGGCAATCTGAATATGATTAAGTACTAATTTTACATAAAGAACACTATAGTTTTTTTTTTAAATTAAGTTTTTTGGTATATTTTAGGAATACGTAATGAGCACATCATAGGGAAATTATACCTATACGTGACCTATCTTGCTTTTTTTTTGCCATTCCCCTAACCTCCTTTCAACTCCTCTTCCCCTCATCTACAGAACCTTTGTTTCCATTTTTTCCTTCTTTTTTCATTTCATTTTTCACTTCCTTCCTTTCCCCTTCCCCCTCCCCCCTCCCTAGTTACCTTTGAATATTTTCTTCCTATTTCCCAGTATCTATTACACATTTTGATCCATATTTACAGTTTGTTTCCTCGCACCAGAGAAACAATACAGTATTTACATGTGTGTCCAATTTATTTCACTAAGAGTATAGTCAAGTTGCATCCATTTACCTAGAAATGTCTCATTTATCCTTCTTTATAGCTGAGTAGAATTCTACTGTATTAAAAAGAACACTGTAGTTTTAATCCCCTTCCTTTCTTCTTAATATGACACTTAATGCTCTAAGATCACATGGGCCTCACTTTCCTCATGGTCCTTATCCAATTAAGTGGCAGTTGCTTACCATCATAGTTAGTTGCCTCAAGATCCACAAACTGATTGCTCCTCACTGCTCCCTTCTGAATTGCCTGCAAAATTTTAAGAGATGACCATCAGTTAAAGATAAGATACTTTTCTTGTAATATCCCAAGAAATGAATACATCAACTCAAAACAGATCATTGCAATAGGCAAGATATTTGCAGCTTCTAGTATCCAAGCCCTGGTCTTGAGACCTGAATATGAGAAATCAGCTTCACTGCCTCTTACCTGAAGCACCTGGGAGTGGCCCTTCTCCGCACAGACATGCAGCGGTGTTCTTCCCCAGCAATCTGTGGTGTTCACCTGAGCCCCAAGGTTTACCAGATCTTGCACAATGAGATGCTGATTGGCAGCCACTGCCACCTGAAAGGCACTCTGTGGATATTCAAAGAAAAAAAAATTTTAAATATTATCAGAACAAACAATATGAAATTAAACTCCCCAGAAAAAATTAATCCTATTAATAAGCAATCCAATACTATATGACAAGAAAACTAAAATAAGCATAGGGAGTGGCTTAATTATACATGGTCTTTGATCAAATAACTACAAAGTTAACATTATTAACTTCAAGGATAACGGTAGCAAAAAGTCAGTATCTCAAAGTTAATATTAACTAAGTCTCTTGATCTTGAGACAACCTACATATAACACTGGGCATTATTCACTTCACCATAACCACACCTTTGCCATTTTATGTTCTCAAGATCCTCACCTGTCCATTGTGCTCTTTAATATCTAGCATGTGAAGTACATTCATCTTTCTTGCAAGAACATAGGAAAGTGCTCTTCTTCCTTGGGCAACAGCAATATGGAGAAACCTGAGGAACAGGGAAAAGAAAAGAGATAAATTACTAGGTTCACAAAGTTTGTCTTTTTAAAAATTCTTCTGCATACCTAAAAAGTACCAATAAACTTAATGAAAAAAAATTCTTCTGCAGCCTTTGATATATACTGGTGCACTCAAATGAAACTAAAGCATAATTTGCCTTTTTTGCTAGGTTGATAATGTATCTGAACTACAGGAATTAAACTAATAGAAATAAAGAGAGAAAAATGCGAAACATCATGCTGATCGTTTTATTATTTTTTAAGACTCATAAAAATCCTACTAGGGAGTTATTTACACATTTACACATAAAGAAATAAAAGCACAGAGATTTTCAGTAATTTGCCCAAGGTCATAAAGATAGCATGACAGATTAGGATTCAGTCTACAAGTCAAGTTACAGTTTAAGCCTAATCATAACCTAAATTGTTTCTGCACTATAGACATGATCTCCTAAAAGCAATTTTTCAGACAATTTCTATGAACTTAAAACAGGTAATATTTTTAGTTGAAAATAAAAGGAAGACCTTTTCGTGAAATATAAACTAGTACAAAGTAGCATTTCTACCTATACTAGTCCCCTTGTTTAGCCAAACACTAAGATGTAACTTGGAAGACTCAAAAAATTCCGTGCCCACTAAGTTCAACATGTATGACTTAACATGAGGCAAAAGAATACTCACGTGTCACCATCTGCGTCCTTTGAAAGAAACTGGTCTTGAGAAATATTTGCCAACTTGCTTTCTTCTTGCTCTACTTGCCACTGAAAAAATGACTTCCCCAATTGAGTGGTGTTCATTGGATTTCTGTTGATGTTCAGAAATGGCAGTGAAGTGCTTGAAGAGGTAGAGTCAGTATTATGTGCCCCCCTGGCCTCACAAGCACTGTTTAACATCACGCTGAAGTTCTGCAAGTGAGCATCATTCTGTTGCTGGACACTGGGGAAAGTCTGAATGGGAACAGCAATATTCTCAGATCCCCCATGACCACTTACAAGAGATGTGAAACTTGGGTTTAGGCAGAACTGTGGTTCTTGACTCTCAAAGAGATTTGGTTCATAGTTGGGGGACTGAGAAGTTCTAAAGTAAGGGCTATATTCCAGAGTTGGGTTGTGGGTATGCTGCTGCTGCTGCTGCTGCTGCTGCTGCTGCTGCTGCTGCTGCTGGCTGCTGCTGCTGCTGCTGCTGCTGCGGATGCTGCGGATGCTGATGCTCTATGTTCTGGCTCTGTGCAGAAAACTGGTACATGGAAGCCTGGTCCATCATTTGTGGAGAGCTGCTGACTTGGAACACTTGATACTTTTGAGGTGAAGAGAAGACCTGCCCTGGTTCAGGGAAGTTCTGACACTGCTCTTGTGGGGAGTTGTGGGGCACCACAGAGCTCATCCAGCTAACTTGGACTGTGTTCAGGGAAACTGAGCTGCATTCATTTTTAATGTTTATAATGTTCTGAAGCAGATCAGCACTGCTGTCTGGTTTAGATTCACTGTGATGAACATCTTCCATGCTCTCACCAGGTGTTGGTGTTTGAGGTGGTGTCTGGAAAGAAAGAAAATGCGACTTGCATACATACTGACTTCTTTCTAAAAGTATTCTAGAGCCTAAGGGTGTGTAGTTCAGTGGTAGAGCACATGTTCTATTGGTTCAATCGCTAGCACCAAAAATATAAATAAAATTTTAAAATAACACAATTATTCCAGGAAAATAGTGAGATACTTACCAAAAACTGGGTATGCAACAGGGGTGGCCTTTTGCAAGATGGTCCATCAGACATAAAATCAGGTCCTTTTCTTTTTCCACTATATGACACTGAGTTCAATTCTATACTCAAGAAAGAGATAGGAAATATATGATCATTTTACTGTACAAATTTTACTTGTAACAACACAATTATTTCACTCTAAAGTACCATAAAATTTTGAATAGAAGTAACTTTTACCTGTGAATTGCTCAGTGTTCACACTTTGTGTCTGTAAGTAAAAAAAATTTCAATTTAATGTATATAAAATGGTTTTCTACTTAAAATATATCAATAAAGACTCACTTCTATCACCCTTTAGAGCACACCGTAAGTCTTAATTTAGCTACTCTCTCAGTATCTATTTTCTATCTCACTTTGTACCTTTCAACACCTTCATTTTCACTTTCACCTCAGCTCAATTCAGGTCAGTATGAAATTAAGAAAACCATTTGATCTTTCCCTCTCAAGTAAAAATGTTTCATTTTAATTGAACCCTATTTACTTCCTTGCCCCTAAACTGCTTTCATTTACTCATTCATTAAATTTTTCTTGCACATCTTCCAGGTGCCTGGGCTAAGGCTGACAACAAGATAAATATGGTCTATCCTATGTATTTTGTCTTACTGGACCTAGGTCAGCAGAGAATAACTCTGACAGACTCATCTCACAAACCCAACTCAAAAAAAAAAGGTGTCACCTTAAAATCATCCACAGCTTGGCCAGAAGACTTCTGTTTATGACTTCGAATGTGCAGCAAGAGTTCCTTCACTGAGTTCTTCACACGAACACCTTGAAAGGGTCCTCTCTGTTGCCTGCCAACCCCCATATGGGGCTCAACTATTCGAGAGAAAACAAAACATATCCCAACTACATCTCTTCACAACACAATTCTTAATAACTCCCAAAGCACGTCTGCCTAATGTTTAAACTCCCTGAGCAACAGACTGCAACAGCCTTCCCAACATGCTCTAGTTTGACTCTGTGTCAATACCAGCTCTACCTGACAATGGTTGCCTGACAGCTTTCTCCACTAGGCACCCTCAGGAATCAAAGCTCAGTCTAGTCAGAGATTCCCCAAACCAAAAGATAAACCCAAATTAAGTCTCTGAATCTCTCATACCTATCTACCCACAATGAAGGAGGAAAGATTTTGCCAATCAGAATCTTATCCATTTATAAATTATTCATCTTATTTATAATTATTATTGACTTTGGAAAAACCATGGGGAGGAGCAGGGTAAATATGATACATTTCAAACTTTTCAACCCAAAGGCTTTATGTTCACAAAGAAAATTGAAAGTCAATTAATTCCACTCATCTAAGAAGGCAAAAAACAACTTCCTCCAAAGATTTCAATGTACCAAAGCCTAATAATTAATGTCTTACATTTATTTTCAATATTGACTCAATTCAACTGTAGCAAGAAGACTACTTAAAAGTCACTGAGTTTAAACACATTTCTACATACATACATTGATTTCCCTACATTCACTCTTTTTAGAATTCCTTTTATAGGCCTTCTAAATAAAAAGGAAGTATGTTTATTTAACATTTAAACTTAGATACTTTACAATTTAGTACGTAAGTACACTTCTCTACTTCTGACTATGACTATGTTAGGACCTCTTGGGATATCTGTTGAAAACAAATATTCAAAAACATCAAGCAATGAGTAATTTGGCCACTCTGCCAAAATTGGAAAAAATTAAGATGGGACAGGAAACAATGCATTTGAACATATATATTATATATGACATATAATGCCTATAGATAAACAGCTCTATGATGGAGCAAACTAAATTATTAGTTGGTCTTAGGTTTAAATTTAGGGATTTCAACAGATACTTGGATTGCGAGACTCAAACACAATACTGCCCTGGAATGACAGCAGTTAAAAATAAATCACAGGGAGGGGGGAAAAAGTGCAGTTTCAGGAATCCCCCGTATGTGTGGTAAACCAATAACTAGCAAAATAGTTTCAGCCAGATGAAGGCTAAAGACCTTAAAGAACCTCCGAAATAGTCTTTAATACACTCTTTTTAGATTTGCTGCATTAACGTACTGTACTGTTAAATCACTTTTTGGGTATTTTTTTAATTTATAAATTCATTTAAAATAACTCTTAAAATAAAAGACAACCAAAACAGAAGTGGTTAGCAGTGGGGAACATCGGAAGAGATGATCTCTAAAAATCATGACAATGAGACTAGCCAACACTTGAGATTATCTAGGCGTTAAGTCTACCCATAGCGTTATCCTGTTTTCGCAGGATCATTATGCAACTCGGTTCATTAAGAAACCAACTCACAACCGAAGAAAGGAACCATTATACCAAATATAACTTATCCAAGCTAAAGCACACAGTTAAAAGAAGACTACGAACATCTATCTGGGCATCTTTGAGAAACTCTCCATCACAAATTAAAAGGATAACTAGAGGTGTTTTTCGGACCAGCTTCTCTTTTCCATCTTTGTAAGTGCTATTTCTTTCTTTAAAGTCCTTTTATTTAAAATTTTCATACTTTAGAATAAATTCTGACTTTAAACACAATTCCCAAAGCCTTACCCTCTCTGTCATAGCTTTTCACTACAAGAGCCTCCAGAAGAAAATTACACCTACATTAAACCCAAAGCCTCATCGCAACACATTATCATTCTTTTATTACTGAGAAAGGCTAAGGAGGGGGGAATCTCAAACTAAGGTCGTGCTTAGAAGTCAAGAGCTCTCTCTACTCTTACCGGTGCTTCCAGGACCAAAGCCAGCCAGGTGGCGCCCCGACTTCTCCCACCGTCAAAGGGCTTGGAGTGACGTCGGGCGCCCGGACCAGGACAAGGAACCCAGCAGTTGCTTAACAAACATGGCTAACGTATTTCCCTCGCTAAGGACGGCGCCGCCCGCCCCGG